CCCCAAAACCCCAAAACCCCAAAACCCCAAAACCCCATGATCATAAATTTGTCAGATTATGTTAAGTTTTAAATAATAAAATATTTCACATTTTTTATTAGAAAGTTTGAACTTGCTATTTTCAGAATAATAATCAAATAATAATCCACTCATTTACCTCTGGACTGTAAAATTGGTAAGCATTAATAGGTCTTTGTTGACAGTAGCCTGAGTATACTTGCAAGAAGTCAAGTTAAAATTGCTTTATCTCTTGAGGCTGGAATCCTTCGAAATACAATAAAATCTCTGAATTGTTGTTCAATACCTCATATTAGCTAATCACATTATTGGCTTTAAGAGCTTCAAGCTGTGCAAAGTTGACTCTTAAGCAAGAAGCGGGTCTGAAATCAACTATTGTCAAACCTATTGAGTCATTTGCATGTGAATTTCCTATCACTATCTAGTAACTAAAAACTTGACCCTATAATTACTGCTAGCCTAGAGTAGCTAGTTCAAATAGCGGTGTTACATTAAAAGTTAAGAATGGAATGTCTCTTGATGTTGGATTGGTATCGTCATAAGATACGCTCATTTGGTACTACACTCTAAAATCTCCAGACTAGTTTTGTGTTTGATTTGATGACTAGCCATTGCTATCTGGTGTAGGTATGTTTCGTGGTCCATCAACTGCTTCCTAAATGCCTTCAGATAAGTTTCTAGTCTCAGTTTTTACGAAATTAGCAACAAGAATTTCAAACTATATATCATTGCCTTGAACGAATGTCTCATTATCGTACAAGATTGAATTAATGTTGAAAATAATAGGCTCGATAGTATCTACATCGAAGGGCACTCTGTCAGCTTCGTTGTTATCTACATACAATACAAAGTCTCCATACCCATTGATGTCTTACACTTTACTGATATAGCCTATTAGGGCTTCTATTGCTAAGATACTTCCTATATTTGCTCCGAAGTAACGATATCTAATATTTTTCAAAAGGTAGTCAATACCTCTCACTATATTGTCTGAGTACTTATCGAAGTTCTACTCCCATACGAGTACTGCGACAGCAGTAGCTTCAAACACTTGATCATATCTGGGTATCTAATTATTGTCAGCAATAACTATTTATCTGATACTACCATCACTATTCTATTGCGATGCCAAGTAATCTGCATATTTCTCAGCTTCTTATGTTCTATTCAAGTTTTGGTAAATAGCTGCCATTAATCCAATAAAGAAGTTGTCTGCATCAATCTGATTCATTTAATCAGCAGCGATAACTTCCAATCTAAGCAGTTCAGCTTGAATATCTGTAATGCCTACAGAAGTTAGAGCGTAAACTATGAATGCTTCCACTACATACTATGGATAGACTGTGTATATTGGTCTTATTAGCTCGTATGTTCCATTGAAACCTCTCTGGTCAAGCAACCAAGTAGTTAAAGTTTAAATTGAAGAATTTTCATTGCCAAAGATCTTGTTAACATCTCTCAATTCTAATAGGGCAAAAGCAGTTAATAGCACATCCCCTCTTCCTCCTTTGAACTAACTAACATACCCTTCGCTGCTGATGTAGGTTTTAATATCTCTATGATAGATTTCCAATTAGTTGGTTACATTACTAATGTCATCAGCTGCATCTGTATTCTTTAGATAGGCTTAATAAGCAAGTATATTAGCATAAACTGGGCCATAAATACATTCAAAGCATGGACCTGGAAGGCCAATTAGTCTCAAGATGCCTCTAACAAGTGCTACGAAACTAGATGGGTACACTTCTCCAATGAAAGATTAAGTACCAGGCACCATACTCTCAGGCAAAATGACTTCAAATTCAGCTGGCTAATTTGGACCAACTAGTCCTCCTTGAGATTAAGTCTACTGGACTCCTGGAGATACAACTGAAGTCTCTCTGAATATTGAGTCGCTAATAGTTTCTAAGTTTAGCGGATCTAAACTAACTGCTCTGATTTAGACGTAAGTATTCTCACTGAAATTTTAAGCTCTTACTCTAATGTAGAAAACAGCCTGATTCTAGACAGTAGTCACATTCACTCTTATTTCAGAGTTGTTGTTATCCAAAAACACAACACCCAGACTTTCTGATTCATCAGTGCTTGCATAAAGATTAACAGTTAGAGTTTCGTTGTAGTAGTTATATATGGTGACTGGGATTATTAGTTCATCTCCAACTGACATCTGGGAAGGTAGCTAGAATTCAATGTAAAAATTACTTCTGCTATTAATCACTAGGTATTTGTAGCCGAAGACTCCTCTTGTGTCAAAAGCATTGGCAGATATTCTAAACTGAGTAATCAAATCGCTTATGTAGAAACTTCCACTATATTTACCTTGATTATCAGTCAATACTGCAGCTTAGTAGAAAACTGTTTCTGTAGTGTCAAATCTAGTGGAAACATCCTCAAAGAACTGGAACTTTTTGGCATGTCTGTAGAGTCTAGTATTCTGCTCGAAGTCACAGTAAGCATACTTCTTAAGGAAATTCCAAAATTCTAACTCTTTTCTACTTAACTACGCTTGACTACTAACTTAGGATTGTGAGCCTTAGCCCTAACCTTGTCCTTATTGTTCTCCTTATCCTCCAGCTTATCCTCCAGATGGTTCTGATGAAGATGTTAGTTCTTAAACATCACTTGATTGTTTTGCCATAAGTGCCCCATTTGCGAACGTTCCGACTGATGTTGGATAGTAAATTGAACCTTGGAAAGTGTAAGCTAAAAGATCTTGAATTTGTCTTGCTTCTTCTTTACTCATGGTTGAAATTAATGATGGCCATTCTTGAAGAACCTGGGGATAGAAATAGCCATATCTCCAGCCCTAAACTCCCAACAGCAGATCTAAGTTGACATTAGATTACTACTGGTTCAAGTCATCTTGAATGCTTGTCTCATTAGCACTGTAGTTGTCTATGTACATGTAATCAATATACTAGTCAGAGTTGAAGAACTCATTGTTAGTTTTGTTGACCTCGTTTTCCAAATAGACCATAGTGGGAAGAGAAGGTGGCTGTTATCTCCTTTAAATTTGGCTAAACACTGAGTTGTCAGTGACTGTCACTGAGATGAAGCTTCTTTCATACGAGTTTCTTTTGTAGACTGGCTATCTAGTGTCTCTGTCAAGAACTTGCACTTGGAACTCAACAAATTCGCCTGGCTTGTAAACTTGCTTGCTAGTAGTGATTTCAACCATGAGGGTCTCAGAGGGATTTTTAAAGAATAATAGTTCTCCCTTGGGAATGAAATAAATGTCATAGAATGGATTTGGCAGCATATTCCTAGTGGAGATGTTCTTAGCGTTAAAGTCATAGCGATCATACCAGATTAGTGCATTGATTACTTTAAAGACTGCTACTCTTAATACTCCGCCATTGGGAAGGCTAAACTCAGAAGCATTGATTATGATTTCATTAGTTTATAGCTATGTGAACTAGTACTCTTCGAGGTAAAGGATCTTCTCCTTATTGAATACACCAACGACATATAGGTCAGAGGGGTTGACTAATGAATTAGTTTATAATAACACTACTAGATCTTCATCATTGCTAATCACCTTTGACATAATACCAAAGTTGATTTCTAAGTTTTGGATATCAGGCTATTAAGAGACATTGAGGGGTCTCACGACCTCTATTCCATTTACTTCAAATCTAAGATAGTAGTCATTAGCTTGAGTTGGTGTGAAGTTGAAGTAACCTCTTCCCTGGTTAACTGTATTGATATTAGATTAGACTGCTTAAGCATTTGACAAATCAATTGATGAATTCGGAAGTAAAAGAAGTTATGCTTGCTAGATTTCTACAAAGTCAACTTTGTCAGAATTTGCATATACTTAGAAGTAAACTTTGTTTATAGTATCGTAGACGTAGTTGAATGTCTCAGGGAAGAATTCTACAACTAAATTGTCTACTTAGACAATGGACAAAGTAAACGAGTAAGCCTCAATAGTTGCTTAGTAATAGACAATGACTGCAACAGTGATAAAGTCGAGACTTATGTTGGAAGGGATTGAGAAGTAGAAGTTACTCAATCCATTCTGGTCAGTTAGTACATTAGCTTGAGTAAATTGACTCTCGTTGCCAAAGTTAACACTAATTGTATAACTCGGAGTAACTCCATTAGGAAAAGTAGAGCCATCTTGAGTTGCAATTCTGATAGTGCCATTTACATCATCACCTGGTTTGTAAGCTTAGGCATCAAATTGGACTTGAACATTCAGCTGCTGTCTTTGATACTCTCTAATCCTTACCACTCTGATTGATTCTGGTACTACTCCTCCAGATACTCTGACTTAGTACTCGCCTCCACTGGCGTTTTCTGGGATTATGTAGGTGAAACTCACAGTGGAATTTGCTGAATAGGCAGTAGTTGTGTAAACCGCTACTCCTAAAGGATCAATTATTGTCATCGATAGATAGATCGACTGCTCAACGTAGCCAATCGGAAATCTCCTAAGATCGTAGTAACTAGCGCTTGCGTACTAAAAGAAGTTAGAGATGTAGGCAGGAGTCTTATTGAGTGCATCAATTAAGTAGGCTTGAACGAACATAATATCTCCAGGTCTGTACACTACTTTGTCTGTTTGAATGTGAGCCAAGAATCTGCTTGCTGAACTGGGAATAATTTCTTCGACAGTGTCATTGTAAGACTTTTTGATTTACTCAATGTCTACCTAGTTAGATGGCTCGAGAGCATAATCAGAACTTTAATACGGAACATTTAGGGGATTAGGTTCATTTCCAGGAATCACAATCTGTCCAACTAAAATATAAGTTAATTATTGCAAAGAAGTTTAGAAAGAGGTATTACCCCTATTTCTAGGTCAGGGAATGCTAAGGTCTTCCTGGCAATTAATCAATGCCGATGAAAAATAGCCAACTAGGCATAGTACTGGTAGATATGATCTCATTAAAAATTTATCAATAATAATATTAGAGAATCGAAATGACTGTTTAAATAATTATAACCAATTTACTAAATTAAGGTAACTTTAGATTTTTGTAAATAACTTATCTTATTATTGTCAACATTAATCTAACCACTACGGGGTTTTGGGGTTTTGGGGTTTTGGGG